TTTAACATATCTTATAGCAAAAAGCAGCTTTTTTAAGAGGAAAAAATATTTTCTTGTTTTTACAAAAAAAAAATTTTTTATAGAGGGAAGCAATTCTTTAGGGATAACATTGTTTTTAAATGAAAAAGAGTTTCCAGGAATGAAATAGTTATTTTTAACGATGAATATTCTTAAAAAAATTTTTGCCTAGAAAATTTTTCATAAAACTAATGCTTTTTTATCAGAAAAATAACTTTTTTAATTAAAAAAGTGTCTTTCTCACAAAAAAAAAGATCTCTTAGTGAAAACAAAAGTAATATTTTAGCAAGCTTTTTAGTGATAGAAGGAAAGAAAATATTAATATTTGTTATCGAATTTGCTTTCTTATGAAGCTGCACAAGAATCATGGTGAGTAAATGAAGATGAAAAGTCTAAGTTGAATTCTCTTACTTCATCTCTTGAATAACATTTCCTGTAGAGTTTGATCGATATCATGGGATAATATGAAAAGTAAACAGAACCAATGAATTCAATATTGCTCATGAGATCTTGAACAACTTAAGCCAGCAGGCGTAACTTTACAGCAGAAAAGACTAGATCATTCGACAAATATTTTATAAACTATCATCTCCACATTATACAAAATCAAATTTTAGTCTTCATAGACAAGGAAACATTTGTCTATTGATTCATACAGGATTTCACGAAAAGGAAACGTTTGATGATTCGTTAAAAGTGTCACAATAGCAGAAATATCTATGTTGGACAAATTTTACCATGTTTTCAAACCTTTCAGTTTATGTAGGATTTTTCTGCTCTCTTTGCCATTTATATGTGAAATGGCAATAAATATCATTGAAGATGAAATTTAATATCGTATATATAGCGCATTCCGAGTAAGAAAAATGATAACATTTGACGATATTTGAGATGATGAATTAAACTGATGTTTTTTCGAAAGGGATTTGAGTTTACAAACTTTTTATTTGGCATTGGCATTTGAAAAAGTGGAAAACTGTATAAGAAGAGAATTAGAGATCTTCCTCGTTGGGTTGGAACCTGTAAGTTGTTGCCACACTGATGCCTCTGGCAGCATTGTCTTTTCCTGATGTCCAAATTTTCTTAGCATATAAGTACTGAAGTAAAGGCAAATAATTTTAGATGTTCTCACTTAGCTATTATATAAGAGAAGTGACATCTCTTTGATGGTATAAGTCGCATAAAAAAAATCGCGTTGTAGTCGAATACTGAAAAACATGTTTGCTATTACATTGAAAAATTTTTGTATCAATGAAACAAAAGGAATATATACTTTCCGAGTCTTTTGAAATAAACATCAGTGAACGCATTGCATTAAAATAAAATCAATGATACTTTTCTTTCATTGACAACGGAGGACATTTAATATGTTTAAATCAATCTTCTCTGACAATGGAACCGTCTAAATTGGATGTGGGTGTGGGTGTGCAGGGTTGGAAAAAATATTATTCACGAGGGGTAACGCCATAATTTAAAACAGTAGATATGATGAGTTTTATACCAAAAGAAAGCCCATGAAAAATGGGGCTTAGTGATGCTAAATAGTACGACTTTGGAGAACTTTCATATATCAAAGTCTTAAAAACTACAGAATTTCCGTGAAAAAACTCGTTGTAAGTCATGCGTAACAAGTTTTAACACATTGAAAACGAAGAATTTGCTATGCCGAAACGAAAGGTGATTAGTCTGACGATTACAAGGCATAGTCGTGACTCAGAAGAATTAAATGTATTTCTTGCGTTCTGTTGTCAGCTCCTCGTGATACTATCTATTTCAAAGATTACTTTCGTTCTATTCGAAAGTTACATCGGAGAGAAAAGTTCAGTAGTGTGCGACGCAATATAAAAGATAGCTTTCTCATCGACATATTTCATAATAAAACCGATCTTCTTGTTGAATCAACGAAGTTTCGTTATTTGAAATGGCTGGCACTCACGATAATGAACAGCAAAGAATGATTGACAGAATCAAACGCATTGCTTTTCGTGAAGCTCGGGATGCTGGCGCACATTTATCAGTAGACAATGGATTGCGGATAAAATTCACTGAACAACTCGATTTGTCTCAGAGTGGTGAGAAAAATTCTATGATCAATGTTTTACTGATTATTCAAATGCTAGTGCTAAACTTAAATTATCAGAAGCTGGTCAAGATATCATTCGCAAAGCAAGTGGTCAACAAAGAAAAACCTGTTCTGTGGTGGCAAAGGAAATTGCAGAAAAGCAGAAAGAATGTGTTACTCGAAGAACAATCAATAACTACCGTCATAGAGAAGGATTAAAACCATTTCATGTTATTCCAAAATCGTTAAAATCTGAAACTCATATACCAGATCAATTATGGCTGTGTGACTGGTTAAAAGAGTGGACTGAAGAAGATTTTCCCCATCTAGCACCATCTGATGAGTTTTATGTCTGGACTGTTCGTAGACTAAATTATCAGAATGATCGAATTTGATCGAGAAGTGTTGAAGACATTGAAGAACATGAAAGATATCGGGAAATGGTAAAACATCAAGCATGTATTGGAGTTTTTGTAATGTTTACTTGCAAAGGATTACTCTGGGTTATCAAAGATAAAGGGGAATCTTGGACCGGTCAATATTTTCGTGATATAATTTTGACTCAAAATGTATTTCCTTTCTTAAAAAATGAAGAAAATGTTATTGATCCTGATGAAGTTATATTTGTTCATGATAAAGCACCATGTATGAAAGTAAACCAAACCCAGTATTTGCTTAAAGATATCGATGTTAAATTTTGGGGAAATGATATCTGGCCAGGAAATTCACCTGATCTCAATGTGGCAGAGCATATCGGATCAATAATTAAAGATGAAGTTGAAAAAACATGTTATCGGAAACTGGACATAATCGATTTCTTGAAGACACACTCAAAATGCACATTGAAAATGTTTTAACTGATATGGAAGAAGATACTGAATTATTTGAAACTCTCCTATTTTCGTATCCACCTCGGCTTCGTGCCGTACAAAACGCTAATGGTCGTCACACTGATTATTGATTGTAATCATTAAAGAATAAGAAATAAACTATTTGGTAATATATGTGATTCGAAGTCCATTGGATAAACTGATTTTCTCGTGTCTTATGTCGGTGGAAAGTCGTAACTTTTGAGAGTTTCATATATGAAAGTTCTCCAAAGTCGTACTATTTAGCATCACTAAGCCCCATTTTCACGGGATTTCTTTTGGTATAAAATTCCTCATATCTATCATTTGAAATTATGGCATAACCCTCCTTGAATAATATTTTTTCCAACGCTGTGGGTTTGGGTGTGGATTGGAGTATTTTCCTCATTCACATTCACATCCACACCCACACCCAAATTTCATCAACGATATGTGTCAAAGAAGAAAAAAATAACTTACTGTATTGTCAGGTTTTTTGTTACTTCTGAATATTTAAAATACAAAGAAACATATGTATTAGAAGGTGTAACGAAGATTTACGACCATTTCTATGATCTTAAAGAAAAAATTTTAAAAGAGATACCTTCATTATTTTCTGTTGCCTGTTAAGGTCTCGATATTTTCCATCTTTCGTTATCAAAAATTAATCCAAGACATGAGAAGAAAAGAATTAAAGTGTTTGTTTTAAAAAGCTGCACGATTTTTCCAAAGAAAAATCTTTAATTTGCATACTCTCAAAAAGGTATAAGTTTGGACCATACTTGATGTATACCCACACCGTGCTAATTCTCATCTGCAAGTATAATCTGTTCACTCAAATGGAATTTTATAAGAGTAATTACCGATCAATTTTGCAATAGTATTTTTAGTTATTGAACGATTGCATCCATCTATCAAAGAAGAGTAATACTGTATTGTGCGTCAAACTTAATGTGTTTTCTGTGTTAATGAACAAAAATAATTAACACATTGTTGAAACTTCATATTGTTTTCAAGTGTTTTTATTTTTTATTCTGTTTTTAAGTAATTCTAATTTTCATAGAAGAATGCATATGTTTAAAGAAGAAAAATGATGGCTTTTTTGATTGGTTGACGCAAATCAAACTTGAATTTTCCTTTTCTTGTTTTTTTTTCTAAACAGTATCATGAAACTGAGAAAAATATATCATCCTAGACGGTTTTCTTTCTTTCAAGTATCTTAATTGAAACAAGAAAAAACGTCAGTTATAATGCTTTCTGTCTGAATTTGTTTGACAAGTTTCTGAGCAATGACGCTTCTATGACGCAGTCAATGAGACATTAGAGCGAGATTATACAAGTGAGTATTTGTGATGACTTCTCTTGTCTTTGATTTAAGGTTAACCCATCATCTCACCCTTATTTCGTACAATATATCATGTTATCGTCTGCATCAGTATAAACAGTAGTTGATACTGCACCATCTCTCGTGTATAAACTATCTGTATGAACGAGTTGCTTACGTACAATAAAACGACTAGAAAATCTCGATTCAAGCTGACCATCATGGTATAGAGCAATAACAAACACAGAAAACTTCAGCATTACGTGTATGATTTAGAATTTACATTTTTACCGTCTCTCCTAAATCGTCTTCTTAAACATCACTAAAGCATGTTATCAAGTTAACGAAAAAACCGATATACTACCACTAGGAGGCAACGTATTATTTTTTCACTTTTTCTACAATTACGAACAGATAACAAGCGATTAGTTTTTATGATATCTTCTTTTCTAACCACATGAGTTGATGACATATGGCCTAATTTTCAAAGTTATTCAGGTCGAAGATTCCAGTGATCATATCCCGCAGAATCCTGCAGGAACATGCGGAAAAACATCGAAAGTCGCCGGAACAAGGTGGCAGAATTCCGGTCGGAAATTTTTCGGATTTGTTCCAGTGGCTTCCGAACAGATTCCTACAGCAAATGAGAGGAAGTTGACCGGAAGTCACGGGAAAAAATTGAAAAATTTTTCGGCTGGAATACTGCTACCCTGCTTCGGCGACTTCCGATGTTTTTCTGCCGGAACCTACCCGTACTTTTCGACCTGAGTTTGTACAGTAGAAAACCATTCAGAAGTTCGGATGACTTTTCCGGTTTGAAAACGAAATAATCAGTTCTGTGAGATAGTGAATCCACTATGATACATTATTTACCACTTCATGAAAAATATTTTAAAAAGTCATTCTGATAATCGATATTATCGGACAAATATCTTCATGGCTGCTACTAATCAACACTCTAAAGAAATACTTTAAAAAGAAATTTTAAATCTTTGTTCAAAGAACTGACGATAAACGATTGACGCATTTTATATCTGCATAAATATATTTGGACAAATAAAAATCATGTCGATCCACGTCGATTTCTACTTGCTTCTTCGTTTTTTTAAAACCTCCCTACGACAATTAAACCTATTCAACAGTGGTTCTCAAGATGAGCATATTCTCGCGAATGAACGTCGATCAACTCGATTGTATCTTGTCCTTCTGATTGCATCCATAGCTCTTCTCACCTTTTATTATTCTCTCACTTCGACGGCAGTAGTAATCGTGATTGAATCTCCATCATTCGACAAGTATCTGACTCTGTTGCAACACTCATCTTTACAGTGTCCTTGTTCAACGCTGGCAGTCAGGTATGAGCAATTCGTACAAATTGAACCTATTTACCATGAAGTCTGTCAAAGTGATTTTGTTTCTGATGAGTGGATCAATCATTTATTCATTCTCTACCAAGAATACTGGAGTGATTCAAATCTGTCGGATTTCTTTCGAATTGCCGTATTTCAGTTCGTAACAGTTCGATCAATATGTCAAATGGCTCGAGAAACTATTACACAAGATATACAACTATTCCAAAGGACTGAATTTATTCAGTCACTGTTAGTTTCACAGGAACTGTTTCAAATTCAAATTGATTCGATTTTTACGATTTTCATCGAATCACTGCATAAGAGTGTTTTGAGAACACTGCGCTTCATGCAAGATATCACAGCGCAATCTATGTTGTTCACAGGTGCCTCAGTAACTAGTGTTCAACCACAATACAGCCGTACTGTTAATGTCAACAAACCTGGACTTCCTCATTACGGCATTCAGTACATTTTTTTCAACGAGTCTAATTGCACCTGCTCAAGTTCGACGGCTACAACATGCATGGGTCAGGCAACTTATAACGGAAAAGTTGTATCCGGTTTCCAGACTGGTTGTTATATGTTGAGTACACTACTTAAATCGACACTGGAAGTATTCTACAATCAAACATTTGTCAATATGCTGACAAATTCGTCAAACACATTCAAGAGTCTGAATTCATCGAAATCTAATGAAACAATTGAAACTCTACTCGCCCAACTGTTTGTGATTCATTGGTCAAAAAACGTATCTTTCCCACAATATTTCAATCGTTGTGCTCCAGAATCATGTCAATATACAGTGAAGAAACATCATGATTTCTTCGATATTGTAACATTATTGATTAGTCTTTTCGGTGGATTGTCCTCGGTACTGACAATCACCGTACCTTTGTTAGTTACAAAGATATGGCCAGCTATTTGGATTTTTATTTCACGACGGCGACAAATACATGGACTAGAATTCATTCAGAGTGAAAGTAGTACACGTAATTACAGTTTTACTAACATGTACAACCGTAGTCTATGCTTTTACTTTTTTATTTCAGAACTTTCTCGCAGAGATCGTGTGAAAAACTTACTGTACCTCTTGAGACGCAAAATTGTCGAATCGAATTTATTTGAACATATCTCTTCGCCAGACGATGTAAATAATATGCAAACACAACGTGCTGTTACTCGACTTTATTTGGCTCTATTCTTCATCGTTATGCTGATTCTTATTATCTTCACATCATTTCGGCCTCAGACAATCAATATTAGTATCTCTTCACCAACTGTAGAAACTTTCATTCAGTTGTATGATCGGCATCCATTAACACTTGACTGTCCTTGTAGACAAGTTGCAATCAAATACAATCGATTTGTTTCAGTTATCAAACCTATCTATCATGAAGTTTGTTTGAGCAATTTGATATCCTCAAAGTGGATTAATGTTAAATTCATCGTGAATCCTCAGGAAATATTGGTTACCTATGATATTCGCTATCAATTTCAGCTTCATTTTCAACTGCTCTCTACGTTGTGTCACATCGCTAACCAGACAATCGACGAATTACTGCAGTCATTTTATCAAACGGAACTAGTTACTACTCGAGCACTCAATCCACAAGCATTTCGAACTCAGGTTGATGCGATACTGGATGAATTCAAACGAACAGTGCCACAATCATTCCAACGTACATTAGAAGTAATAAAAACCAACATGGAAACCAATCAGTTTATTACATCTGTGAATTCTGAATTTCGTGGCATCCAAAGAGCTTTAGGGGCTGGTGATGTTCCATTGACTTATTCTTACCTAGACTCGTTCACGAACCCAGAATGCCGACGACAAGAGTCTGATCTGAATCCGTGCTATTGCTTTCCATTATCCTTTCACACCTGTTATTTCCCAACCATTGTCCAGAAAAATCAATCGAAAATAGCCATTTCGGGAATGTTCCAAACATGGTTTCCTTTACAAGCACTTCTAGCTTCAACATTGGAATGTTTTTATAACGAAACATGCTTCTCTCAAATTACAGACCATATTGACTCATCTGTATCACCAACCAACTTTACTATACTCAAATCTTCATCAACATCACTAGCCAGTAAGCAGTATGAACGAATTCAGACGTTGGCTGATCGTCTTTTCGTTGAATCATGGATGAATGAGACTTCATTCGAGTCCTATTTTGATCAGTGCCATCCTTCGACTTGTCAATATGCATATGAGAGCCGTTCAAATTGGATCTACGTTGTCACTACCTTAACTGGACTAATTGGCGGCATCAATGCTACTCTACGCTTGCTGACTCCATTCATTATCAAAGGAATAATCAAAATAC